TATAAAGTAAAATGCATGCAGGCAGAGGAGAAAAACAAAACTTTCAAACATGCTGTACTTGCTACTTAACTTATTTAGTGTATAAGCCGAATGGAACTTTCTAGACTTGGTGTCTTTTACAGAGAAGCTGAATGTTGAGAAAGATTCAAAAACCTAATTTCTATGGAAGGGAACTTTGTTGTAGAAGAGGCGATCAAATCTACAGTAGCAGAAAGTCGGATGAGGAGGTACTTTGTTCATCTCACACATCAAGTAGATGAGCATGGAAGAGCCTCCTGACGGATTATACAGTCAGCTTTGCGTTGCTGTGGCATCATAAGCTTCTCTCTGTGTCTGCCTTATTGGGGGCATTTTAAATATTTATCAGGCCACGGCAGCATATTCTCAACCAGCAAACAAAGAGGTGTTTCTTTTTTATCTGTCTGGATGCTTGAATAACAATGAGAGGCAGAGAACTAAACCAGGTGATGTGAAGGAGTGTAGAAATGCACTTTTTTCTTATTCTTCCCTAGCCTTATTTTTCTTGGAGTGTTTACAATGTGTTGTTGCTTGGTCAGCTGGAAAATATTAAAAGAAATAGAGCAATGAAACACTCAGTTTGTTCAATAATTAATAACTAGTGTTAGTAATTAGGCTGAACAATGGGGTTTGGATCTCTGTCTGGGAATTTCAGTGTGAAGTTTGCATGTTCCTGTTTTGTGTGCATGGGATGAAGTAATAAGAACAAGTATGATTCCTCTGTCTTAGCTGTTTTTACATGTTTATCAAAACATGGGTAACTAGTTTGTACTGAACTCAGAGCCAAGCGGAGAAGGTGATACCTTCATGTGAATAAATTGTTCTAAGGCAGGAACAAAGCTGAAGCATTCGGCACATTGAGCCCCGTAGTTGGAATTGTGAAGTACTAATCTGGTGTTGGGATAGGATTGTTCTGTAACACAAAACACATGAGAACTGTGAAAAATGGCAAACAGAATTAAGATAAGGAGTAGGAAAGGACAACTGGGAGATTTATTACACATAAACAACAAAATTGACTAAAACGTTTTAAGCCTAAATGTCATTAAAAAAAATCTTTTTTGGAGAGAAATAAGATAAAACAGCTATCTTTATTCTTGTTTAAATTTACCTTAACTCTAGAGAAAAAACAAACAACAACAACACTAAAATAGTGCTTCTTAGAACTGACCCAAAAGTTTATGATATTTTTCTTTGAAGCCAGCTTATATTTTAGCTTATATTTAGCAGGAAACAATTTTAGAAAATCTCTACAAATAAAGATTTGGATTTTACAGTCCATAACAGAACCCAAAGAGAAAAAGTTAAATAAGTTAAAATTAAAAAATAAAAATATCTGCTAATATTTTGAAGTTGATCGGTGGATGAGAAACCATGGTCCTAGATGTGTTTCATTCAGAGGAAACAATAATAACACATGCGTTACATGAAGTCATCCTTTATTAGTCATTTACTATTGAGTTACAGTAAATAAAGAAGAACAGAAAAGTTATCAGACCCTCAAAGATATGAACCTGAGCATGATCAACAAAATAGGTTTAAGATATATATTCAGTTGGTTTAGTAGAAAATAAAAAATGTGTCAATATTAAGTCACAGATATTTTCTGTGATTTTATTAAATAGTCCATTAGACTGAGAGGTTACACTTTAAATGAGCTTACAGTTCAATTTAGAACTGATTTTGTTTGAATCTCTCTGAAGAAAAATGATAAAACCTTAAATGTTGAATAAAATAAGCCTGACCAGTTTTAATACAGATTTTCTCATTTGAGTGATTACTGAAAAATCAAGGACTCAATGGAATTTGCTGGCTTCCTTTGGTAGAAGGTGTTTTGCCATTATAAAGTTAATCTGACTGCCTTGTTAATTATATAAATACTAACCAATTGGATTGTATGCAATTCAATGGGAATAAAGAAATACTTCTAACTTGATTCATTTAACTCACTACATAAACTGGATCTGTTTGCCTTGTAAGATACCTGTAGACAAGGTTGCTTTTGCTGTTTTGTGAATAAACTCAATGGAATTAAAGAAAATAACTGAAAAATATTAATGATAATGAGTTAAAAGACTCAGTCTTGAACCAAACTAAATCATTTTTGACTGTTTCAACTAAAACTTTAGGAAGAAAACTTTCAGGACTTGTGTCTACTGTCATGTGCACTGATTAGACTTGACTGCATCTCAGAAGTGTTTTCCATGGTAACCACGGATTTTCTGATTAATTAATGAACCTTTTACAACATCAGCTACTGTTCTTAATCACCCCAACACTCTCCAACCAGTTCCCTCCCCAACACAGACTCACACACACGCACCCATACAACCAATATGTAGCGACACACACACACACACACACACACACACACACACACACACACACACACACACACACACACACATATATGGCAGTAGAAAAGCTAGATCTGTTTGAGAGATTTTTCTCCAGGCTATCTGAATGGCTTGGCTTTGGTAGAAATCAATGACACGGGAGTCATAAAAGGAGCATTTCTTTCCATAAAAAGGTTTGGGAGCATATGCTAGCGCCTGAGGCCTTGTTTCTGAGCGTTAAAAGTCATCACTAAAACATTCATCACAGATGCACCGCAACTAGGCCAAAACTTTTAGGGCCCGACTAATTCTCTACCGCAGTTAAAATTAGAAAAAATAAAAAAATGAAACTGCTCAAATGTTTGTGTAGTTTGAGCTTCATCAGAAGGTCTCTTCTTTGATCTGAACACAGTTTGATCTTCCCCTTACAGATAGAGGCAGACAGCCTGACAAACACCTTCAAAACAAACAACACTGCATGTCACGACAAAGAAACAGGGCCCCAGAATGTGAACACAAGCTTTGAAAACCTGCTGGCTCATGTTCACGGTTTAATAAAGATTTCTGAGAGTGATTAGCAAACTTCTCGGAGAGACATGTTGTGTTTATGGTGCGTTTGTGTGATGAAAACATTGCAGAGCTTCTATTCTTAATCCATCTGTTTAATGTAGGATCAAACATTGATTCCTTGCCTGTCCAAGCATCAAGACATCAGCACAGCAGCAGACTGTCAGATACAATTAAATATAAAATGTATATAGGAATGCATTAAAATTAACCAATCAAGCACAAGCATTGAACAGGCCTCAGGTCAAGGAAGGAGACCAGAACCAGTCACCCTCTATCTGTGCAGTCAAGTCTTTTGAATAAAACATTTCAGATGTTTGGGGGCAGATTCTCCAGAGAAGTGGTCAGTATGGAGCTGACAGGGGGATAATTGCTGTGCTGCTTAGTAAAACGTCTCAAAGAAAGTCAAATCTAATATATTTGCACTGAAACGTAAATTTTGCTGTATCAACGCTACTCCAGACATTTTGAATTAATTTGAATTAATTTAAGAGTTAAATCCAACACCATTCCGAGTGCATTTGGTCCCACTCTGAATTAGTGTTATATGAAGTCTTGACATAGTGAAAATCTTAATCCAACTGTTGATGTAATAACTCTAAAAGAGTAAATGTACTATGACACTGCATATTTAACACTGAGGAGGTCCACTAGAATCAGCTGACTTTGTGGTTTCCTTTTCTTATCTTCAGTTTCTTTTGCATGGTCTAATTTCTCTCTCTGACTCTGAAATCTTCTCATTTTCACCACTTAACAACGTTTTCCTTATCTCCACTCATTTCTTCTGCTATTTCCCTTTTTTTAAATCTCACAATCTTTTCTTACTCTTTAGTCTATTCTTTTGTTTGTTTGTTTTTTCTGGTCGAAGATACAAGACATATTTCCACATTTTAATGTTCTTTTAATTGGGATCTGCAATGTGCAAGCATTAAGATTAGGATAAATGATTATAAAATTAAACCAGAAACATTCATCACATTCAGATATTGATACAGGCGGTTTTATTTAGAAATCTTGGTATGATGGAAACAAATGTTTTATTTTATATATCGTCTATATAATATAAACATATACATTTGAAGTATATTATATATTTCTTGTAAATGTATAATTTGAAGGCTGAAGGTGTAACATCTAGTAAAGTCTGTATAGATTCTCTCACTGACCCACAAATCCAATGTTTTCTTCAATAAATCCATAACATTAGCAGCTTTCTCTTATTTGTGGGAAAGAAATATAAAACACTGGAAAACCAAACAGAAACTGCAGTACAAGTAAATTTTTTTAAGGAAAGAGCGTTTTCAAATATATTAATTATCTTTCTGAAAATCTCAATCTTTCTAAACCCATCTCTGCCTAGAAAAACCAGAGTTAACTCACAGTTAATGGAAAAAATAAAATAAAATACACAGTTCTTTATTTTCTTAAATCTGGCAGAAGTATTCTATTATGGGATTTTTATATTGTCTGCCTTTTTCCCTTCACACATAAGGTTCCAATAAAATTCTTGCAGTCTGGTCAGAGTTGCGCATGCGCAGATGCAGTAGCGGGTAGTTGTAATAGTATTGTGAATGAGGAGGGGTGGGGGTAGAGGTGGGGGCGGTATTTTGGGTGTACAGTCACAAGAGCGACTCGGCGGAGCCAGGAAGTAGACTGTTGACGCCTTCATGCTCCGGCAAAAGTGTCGTAATTTCTAACACTGACAGCTGCGGAGAAGGTGTCACGAAGGAAACTGGAGAGGAAGTCTGTGGCTGAAGTTGATAACAAAGAAGAATTACTCTTTCTCTTGTTGCCATCAGGATGTGCAAACTAATGCAGTTCATTTATTCATACATTTTTATTATCAAATGCATTTAGAAAAAAATAAATAATGTCAGATGTCAAATAAGTTTTTAGTTATATATCTGTCTTTTCAAAGAATCTAAAAAAAAAACGTATTGATGTTTACTCTAAGTCTTAATTTAAGCATAAAAAGTATTTTTTATGGGCTTTTTATTTGTGCGTAAAATCCACTTTTACGCACCAATCCAAACCTGGGGAGAATCACTTGAAAGTTGCAGGTAGACCTGAGAGCGCTCGTTTGTGGCTCAAGATCAAGCGCTCGTCGAGAGACAGAGAAAAGGAGGGAGGAGGAGGTGGAGGGGGAGCTTCAAGGCCAAAGTGAGCTTTATGTACCGCAGCGGGTCACTTTCTAGGAGCCATTTGGAGCCAGAGGCTACCCGGAGCGCACAGGAGCCGCACCAAACTGAGGCGGATCATCAGTCCTAGTCACTGAGGCCAGCAGCAGGGAGCACATTGCTTCACACAGGGTAGGAAAAAAAAAACAGACACGGAAGAGAAGTGAGAGAAAGAGAGAGGCTGAGTGCGGGGACGGTCGGCAAAAACGCACTGTGGAAGTTTAGAGTGTGCGGGATCTGGAGGAAAGAGGCTTGAGTGGCCGCACAGGATTGCAGAAGATGCCGAGGGTAGTCCCGGACCAGAGGAGCAAGTTTGAGAATGAGGAGTTTTTCCGCAAGTTGAGCAGAGAGTGTGAGGTGAGTGAGACGGCGGAAATAAAGAGAAGAGAAAGACAGTCAAACCCGCGCGCATCAGTCCTCTTTAACCAATAATCATTTATTTGATCTTTACTCATGCGGATTAAAGTCGGGAGCAGTTTTTGACTCCCTCAGACCATCCCAAAGTTTCAGATTTTTACAATACAGATGTGTCACTCTTTTTAATAATTTCTCATCTTCAAATTCAGTTTTATTGTTTCCATTTCCATTGACACAATTTTACATCCTGAGAATACTGAAAAAAGAACATTTTCACATTAAACTGAAGTTTATTTTGGATTTGAGAGGGATTCGAGCGGAAAATGGTATATATCTAATTAAAACTAGGCGTTTTTTATTGTTATTTTTATTTATATGTTGTTTCTTCTGCAGATTAAATACACTGGCTTCAGGGACCGACCTCATGAGGAGAGGCAAGCCCGCTTCCAGAACGCCTGCAGAGACGGACGCTCAGAAGTTGTGAGTCCAAAACTAGATTTGGTTCATTTTAAAGGTGCTGATTGGAGCGCCATGTATGAAAACCTATAAAGAGGAAGGTCCCCCGAAGTGCGCCTTTGTATTTGGAGGTTACAGAGGCGCTGCTAGGCATACTTACGGGAGCCGCATGTATGGAATAGTATAGTCATCATGTGCAATAAATTATAATATTACTAATAAATTGATTTTGGTATCAAACTTTACTAAATAAATACATTATATAGTTAATTAGAGACTTTATTTCTGTTAACTATGATAATTTTCTTGTTCCAGGTAATAGAAACAGCATTTTTGGGGAAGAATCTTAGGTCTGATGAATGAACAATGCACTTTTAATTTTAAAAGGAGCTTTATTTGAATGCATCATAATCATCTCATATATACTGTATATTAGGGTGCTCTAAATATGTTAAAATATATGGATAAATAGCTGAGAGTATCTGTAATGAACCAACTCCTTATTTTAAGGGGGAGCTAATATATCTTCCTAATTGATTTACGGCCTCCAATTTGGAAGTTATTACTGACTTGATCAAGCATGCAGCATCGTGATAAGAGCCAGAAAACATTGTGAAAGGTGGATGGAAAGAATGCTGAGGAGTCATTACATTATCAATGTCATAACATTAAGGTTATTCTGCTATATTATAAACTTTTTCCAAGATATCTTTTCCTATTCTGAAGTTTAATAGATAAAAGTTGTTTAGGTTTTTTTCATTTGAGGTCTGAAAACATGACTTTTATTGGATTTCGGGATTATTTTCTACAAACAAGTTCTTGAAATGACAAAATTTTGAGTAAAGATTTGGGAGAAATTTTAGTAGTCTGGAATAACATATATATATATATATATATATATATATATATATATATATATATATATATATATATATATATATATATATATATATATATATATATATATATAAATATACATATATAAACATAGGAATGCATCCTGTACAATTTTTGTAATTAAGCCTTGTTTCCCCAAACAGCATAATTACTTAGTTATTATTTTACTTTATAGTTTCATCCTAACCGGTCTGTCTTTCCTGTAATCCTCTGATGTCTGATGTTTATCTTCAGGCACATGTGGAAACCTTTTGATCAAACCTGATCTGAATTTTTAAGTGGGTCCAGAAGATATGCCTTTGAAAAATAGATCTCTCATTTCATTAAGATGCGCAAACATAAACATTGATAAAACAACCGGTTAACATTAATTTATATGCATTTTACTTGTATCAATTTCATTGCAACTTTTGAGCAAAATGTTTTGTCAATTGAATTGGATATCTTATCAAATGAGCTAAACTCAAGAAATTATCTGGATTTTTTATTTTTTTTTTGGCTCATATCAAAATAAAAAAAAGGTTTTGTAATGGAGACAATGGAATATTTTTTTAAGTAAGGCACATTTTATAAATGTATTATAATATACAGCGGCTAAGTTGTGCTATTTACTAGCAACGGATTCCTGAGGGATAAGAAGACAGATTGAGTTCACTGTTGTTGCCTAACAGGTCAAAGCAGATACAAATGTGTGTAACGTCTGATCTAAGGCAGGAATGATCTAATTACAAATGACATTTTTTAGCTTCCATTAGATCCAAAGATTTATGAATCATACTACCCATCCCTATTCTGGGAAACATAAACGATGCCTAAGAATTAATTGAACTAGCACCTTAACAAGACAGTTCATATTTGAAACCACCATAAATTCCTTTTAATATTATAATTGATAAAAGGCTTCCTACTATGTCTTAAAGTTCTGGCAAAACCTTCCAGCTCAAAGTCTGGTTGATACCAGAGCAACTCTGATGAGCAGCCAAGCTTGGACTCATGAAAGGAGCTCACTGGTTGATGCCCCATTCTGTCCCTGCGGCAGGGAGAAGTATGGAGACCCATGAGCTCTAATTTCTTCCCTTCACACCCTCCAGCTCTGTTCATAATCTTCATCATCATTAGCATAGGCTCAGGGCCCCACCTGAACACATGAAACGGTGCATGAACCCGTTGATCCTAGGCAGGTCATTTCATTTTTATGAATGTGATGCTTCAGTCTCATATCACAAACAAACCTCATATATGAGGAAATATGAGAAAATTAATGCTGTTTCTGTCCTCACTGGGCATGAGCTACATTTCCATGGAGTGTAACCCTTAAATTAACTTACCATGGTGTTTATGTTATATGGTAATAACAATTGCTCACATTGTTGCTTAAAATGTCTCTTTAATCAATCATAATAATGTTTATTTATTGTTTAATTTGATTTGGAGAGAAGCTATTTGAGCAAAGTTCTAGAGTTAACCTATTAATGTGTATATTACACAGAATTGCTTTTTTGCTGTTCTCTTCTTACGGATAAGAAGAAGTGAAGCAAGACATTATTAGCTGGTTAATTAGCTGGACTATTTACTCAGGTAGATTTAATATTCAACTGGGACTTGTATTTTAAAACAGGACTAAAACCTTTTACATTTTCATTGAAAACTTTTTCAGACCGTATGCCTTTCTGCAAAAGTCGCTGCATTCTTCCATGTTAGAGCTAGCGTTGTTTTACTCTATAGAGAAAATGTCGGTCTCTCCAGGCCTTTCTCCGCTATTTCAGTAATACGGCTTAGCACATTTAGATTGGTATGGCAGAACATTTCTTGCGGTCTTGAAAGTGCAGCTTTTTAAATGATTGCTTTACCTTGGATCTAACCCGTATCTTGCTGTGTTTTTTTCTATGTCCTGTAGTAGGTGTTTTGTTGGCCTATGCTGCCAAAGAATGTTATTTTTCTTTTTTACTTTAGAGCAAGCAGCCAGAGTGAGAGTGCTGTCGCTGCAAGGAAATATTTTGTGGTAGCAAAGTCAAATCTGGTCCAAATTGACGTCCTGCCATTTAGAAAACACACTGCTCTCCAGCTTCAGATGTAAATGTGAAGACACTGATGCTCTGCCTTTGTCTAAAGATTTCACAGTGTTTATGACCCAGATGACTAAGAATTTGCTCAGGCATTAAGAAGAATTACAGGAAAAAGCCTCGTGAAGCTGCTCACCCTTAAGGTCACAGTGGTAATTTATTAGTAACCCTAATTCTATAAAAACATCATTTGATTTAAGTAAAATATTTTTGACTTTTAAAATAGTGAAATTGAATCTTTTTTTTTTTTTTTTATAATTCGGCAGGTTAGTTATAGTTGTTCTGCTACTGAGATGAGAGCTTTCCCTAGTCAAATTTTAATTTTAATGCATAAATCGGGTTCAAAGAATTTGTGATAAGAAGGTTCTAAGATTAGGTCACTGATGTTGAAGTTCTGTGATTGGTTTCTAACATGTCAAATCAATCCTTCAACAAGTATAAACATTAGCCGTGGATGAGTCATCTGTATCAAGGTGTACTGAAGTTTTACTACCTCACAGTTTCTAAACCTCGAAAAGTTTCTGTCTTAATGTTCCCATCGATTCACATCCTTTTTGTCAAATGCCAGGGTGAACACAGCACTGAGGAAAGGCAGGGAACCCTTTGCTTCAGCTTTTGCTGTGCACTGCTGATCAGCTGATTTACAGAGACAGTCTGTCAGTCACAGATGTTATCATGAGCCAAAACCTTTAAAAAGAAGATTTTTTTCTGAATGTTTCTTCTATTCTGTCTAAATAAAGTTAGTGAACCTAAAATTGGTCTTTTATGAACATGTTTCTGCTTTTAATATACTTCTGTTGACTACATTTTCCTTTTTTTGTGTGTAACATGTTTGTGATAGATAAAAACTTTAATAACAAAACATCAACCTACTAAGACACTCATGTAGTTAAATAAAACAGGAGCCTGTCTGTAAGAAAGAGGAGCATCATGTCCCGTGTCTTATTGGGACATGATATGTCCGCTCGTCCATATTTATAATCTTCAGCTGTGACATCATGCTGCAGATTTATCTATGAAGTAAACGGAAGGGTGGTCAATTTTCAACATGATTATGTTCGATGTGAACCTTTGCATGTGATAAAACCCAAGAAAATTTTTGAAATATCACATTAAGTGAACAAATGTAGATTATTATTTATTATTATTATTGATTATTATTTAATGATTTTAAACCAATTTTGATCAACTTCACAAATATGTTTGATGGAAAGTTAAAGCCACGGCTGAATATTATTATTTCATGCAGTTTTATTCAAATTAACTAATTTTTTTTTTTTTATTATTATTAGATTTGGTGAAGAAGTGACCTGTTTTTGTAGATTTGAACTCTTGGGTTTATTGATCAACCAATTTCCTCCTCATTGATAAAAATAATGAAATTATCAAAAAATAATGAAAAAATTGTTTATTTACGTCTTATTATTACTTGTTATTATTTACTTATTACTTTTTTTGTAAGAAAAATGTTGGCACTTCTGCTAAATATATCTTGTATTTATAGCTTTACTTGTTAACTGACTTGATGCTGTTGAATTACAACTTAGAGTCTTTTATTGTTATTTCGTATTATTTGCCAGGTGTTTCCACGGTTTAGATGAGATGAGAAGCTCTCAATGAAGACTTTAAAATGTGTCCTTTAAATAAGATGTATTAGGTTAATAAGGCAAAACCAACATTAAATAAATTAAGAACTATGAATACATACATTTTCTGACAGAAATCGCCTGAGTATCTTTTCTTCCAGGAATAATTTTAACATTTTTTTAGCTGATAAATCTTACAGAGAACCATCTAAAAAAAAAAAAACTAAAAAAAAAAACTAAGCATATGAATTCAGATGTAAGACTCTACTTAGTGCAGAAATTGATCTACTATTTGTAAAAATCCATTTAATAATTTACATTTCACAGCTAAATTAATCTGTCCAATAAATGTTGCTTTGTGGAGGCAGGAAGTAACCTTCTAGCTTTTTTCAAATTAAAATGTAATCTTGGACAACACTGTTTGCAGCAGTTCAGTCATTTTGAGCAATGTTTCCACGTTATGTTTGATCAGTGTACTAATGACAGTAATTTGCAGATATGTACGGTAGTCATTATTGTGATTATTGTTAGGTCATTATATCTTTACTTTATTATTTATTTATTTTGCATTTGTTATATTTATTTTGCAATGTACTATTAGCAGAGCTCTACAGAACTTGTAGGTTGTTTAGCTACTTTATTTACACCCCTGTTTAACATAGAGTTATTAAAGCATTTAAATAAAAAAAGAGGTAAAAAAAAAACATCAAAACTAATATAATTCACTATTCTTCATAGAAACATTGAAATACTCAGATAAACAAGAAAATTATATCTTTACATCAAATATAATATATATTCATGTAAATATAAATAAAATATTGTTTTTCAAGACACATATTTGACACCTTTCTCATTTCGTTGTTGGATCATATCTGTATCAGATTTACTCTGCCAGAAATCGGAATCTTTTGTGCGTTACTCCACATGATTTAAATTGTAATAGGATTTTTATCAGTTTGTCTGTAGTGTGCCAGTGTTTAGTCATAAATTGGTTTGACTTATTGATTTTCATCTTCTTAGAAAGATTGATCAAGATAAGTTTAAAAAGCAGCCGGGTCGTGCAGCACCAGTCGTCATTAGTGTAAATCAGCTAATTTAAAAATAGCATATCCATTCATTGATTCTTTTTCCATATCCTTTCAGGATTTTTTTTTTGTATATTATACAATATTATTATAAGAATTTTTACTAGAGGTTATAAAATTTTAGATCATTTAACAAGTATACAAAAAATGTGTTTTTACCAGATACACGCAGGTCTCTCTTTATCATTACCACCATGCGATACCATGATGTTTAATTATTATGGGCTGCCATTTTGTTTTGGATGCATCAAGTATGACTATAATTTAAATCATTTATAATTTAGATCATTAAAAACAGCATCCTGGGTGGAAAGAATTTAAAACACTTTAATGTCCTTACCAAAAATATTTTAGAAATCCCCACCCAAAATATAATCATCTCCAAAAAGAAAACAGTTAAAATATAAACACTAAGAGTTTTTAGATATAGTGGATATTTGAAAAGAAACGTGTTATTGGTTAAGACTTTAAGCAGTTTCACACAGAATGTGGCAGCATTTTTTATTTTTTTATTTGTAATTGTTGAGCTCTTTTTCCCTGAAAGCAATTACAAATTTCCATATAGGATTCTTTGATTCATAACACACATGCACACACACACCAACACACACCCACACACACAGGGGGACTCATGCAACTGCTCTATCTGTTCAGGATTGATTTGATAAATTGAAGAATAACTCAAAGTAAATTATCTTCGGCTCAGCTCATTAGAGATGAGTCCTTTTCTAAACTATTATTGATTTTCATGTTTCTGGATTCACTCACTCTTTCTCCTCTTGTATTTCATACCATTCCTTTTGTTCTTCTTTATATTTTTTCCTTTTCATTTCGAATTTGTTTCTATTTCTGTCCACCCTTCCTTACATCCCACTTGATTTATTTTCCAACCCTTTGCTCTTTCTTCATTTCATCTCTGTATTCTTATACCCGTCCTTTTTCCCTCCATCTCTCTCCTTGTTCTCCACTCTGTCCGCTTCTTGCCAGCAGTAGTAGGCAGCAAATTGGAATCAGATGGTTGTAATCCAATACTTCAAATCCAGCAGAAATGATGACTCGGGTGTTCTTTGAGTTTCAACCCTTTAATTTCTTCTCATCTCTTCAGAACTGTTCTGTTCTTGCTGTGTTTTATTCACTTTTTCTTTCTCAACCTCTCAGTCCTCCACGAGAGACACATTTGACAGGATGGATAATTCATATGCTTCTACTTCAGTCCCATCACTAATTCCCTTAGTATTGATCTGTCTCAGCAACATATATTACACAAAGACAAAAGCACGCAGCGAGATTGAGAACAACTTAAATCTCTAATTCCATTTGCTGCTTCACAGTAATATGTTTCTTTATGGCTACAGGACAGAAATGCATTCTGTTGCTTTTTTCTCATTTGGTTTATGTTTCTGTGCATCAGTATGCATCCAGAGAGAAATGCATCACGTCATGACAAGAGGCCACTTTTTATAGAAATCAAAGAAATGGTGAAAGCTGCTGCAACCTAGAAGTTTATTTTGTGTTTTTGTTGTAAGAGTAGAGTAGTTAGAGAGCATTGATGCACTCAGTGAGGCTAAGTGCTGCAGATTAATTGGGCTTTTCTTTATTCTCCACTTGCACGTATCATCCTCTTGCAACTACCTATTTTAGTGTATTTCACTGGTATTTTATGTGACAGACCAACACTGAGTAGTCTTTTATTGTGAAGTTTGATCCCCTCTAATAAAAAGCACTGCTGCCAACTGCCTTTAGAATTCACTTAATTAGTAAACATTGTCCTCTGGTTTCTTTGCAGTTTACCAAAAGCCATGTAAGAGTCACAACAAACCTGTATAAGAAGCACTGTGCTTCGTTAAGAATGAAAGCTACATTTTTGGCAGAGATTCAAAATACTTCTCTATGAGGAAGATAACCTTTCATTACCCTGAACATACCATCTCCACAATAAAAAAATGTGGTGGTAGCATTATGGTCTGGGAAAGCTTCTCTTTATCAGGGCAGCAAAAGCTGTTTAGAAATAATGGGAAGATAGATGAAGATTAATACAGGAAATCACATAACAAAAAATTTGAGAAGCTTTAAGACTGGACATTTTAAACATACAACCAGAGGATTTTTAAAAAGTTAGAACATCTTCATGTGCTGGAATAGCCCAGCTAAATTCTTTTATTTATTTATTTGAGAATCTGTGGGGGAAAAAACGTGGGCATTGATCCAATGATGTATTCTAGCAAAGCTAAAGGAGACAGGGGACCTGTGGCTTTACACTGAAGATGTTTGTTAAAATAATTAACTCTTCTTTGCAGATACCCTTTATTATTTAGAGAACCAGGTATCCTTTTTGTTTCTTGTCACAATAAGCTTCACTGTGTGTTTGTCAGTCCCATAAAATCAGGACGACTGGTGTTTTAATAAGCCACTGTACAGATACAATGTTTAAAATTAAAATACAAAAATAATCTTTTTTTGTTTTTGTTATGAAATCATTGTATTTAGCTTTCAGTCGGACCACCCGCATCAGAGTTCTGTTTTTGCAGGCTTGTGCTCTCCGCAGAAAATTACTCTGGAGAATCGTAGAGTTAGTTTCTTGGTGCTCTACGCATTACAGTGTTAAACACTTTTTTTCCTGTAAAACTCGATGAAAGCTCTAAATAAATGAGAGCACATATGTATTTAATGCAGGCATGAAAAAAAAGTTAAGGCCTTTTTAAAATTATTTTTCTAGAGTCAGGAATCATTTGCCCTGTGCTGTACCACTGGGTGCTGCATAACAACTACCCACAAATTTGTAATTGTCCGGTATTAATACAGGTAGACCTGATACTGCACTGGTTTTGTTTGGGTATAGCAATCCCTTCTATCAGCCTTGATTATTGTTTCTTATATAAATATTGTGTAGATGTTCATGTTGCATTTTAACAAAATGAAAATGGTATCAGGATGCAACTATTTCCTAATCCTTACAAATGCTGAGATTCATGGTTAGTGATGCAATTGAAGGCAACAACTTTAGCAGGTTGAGTAGAAATTTTCAGGACTTCCATCCACTACTTTTAGGGCATTTTGTATTAAATGTAACCATCATAGAAATATGATGGAAACTTATAAATAAAGAACTGTAAAAGAAAAAAGACTGAAAACAGAGTCCAAAATATAAAGGGACTCATTTTTCTAAGTTAGTCCAGGTAGGGTAACCACAGATGCAGAACATCCATCCATCCATTTTCCATCAGCTATAGGGGTGCTGGTGCCTGTCTCCAGCTGACTATGGGGGAGAGGCGGGGTACACCCTGGACAGGTTGCAGTCCCGTGCAGGGCAACACAAAGACAAACAGGACACACATCCATTCACACAAACTCACACCTAATTAGAGTTTAATATATATAAATAAGGAGAATTTAGAGAAGCCAACTAACCTAACTCATGTTTTTGGACTGTGGAAGCTGGAGTACCCGGAAAGACCCATGCAAAAAAAACCCGGGCCGGCAATCGAACCCAGAACCTTCTTGCTGCAAGGCTGAATACAATGATGCTGCAAGGCAGCAGTGCTACCCACTGCACCACTGACCAGCCCATATGCAAATGCATTATTGTAAACTTAATTTGTTCCTAGAGATATCAGTGCTGTAAAACTGCCTGCAGCTCAAGTCCAAATTCAATTTAATGTAGGCCCACTTTAGTTTGATCCATCTGTTGTGTTAAAGGGACCGGGTAATCCGTGTTACCTGATGGGCCCAATCACACCCCAGTTCTTAAAATCCAATAGAATGTGCCTCGATTTAAGACCTTTGCATCTATCTTTACGTTGTCCTCTCTCTGTCCACAGGCCTTCGTAGCAACTGGTACCAACCTCTCCCTGCAGTTTTTCCCAGCCAACCTCCATGGAGACCAGAGACAGGTTCCATCAAGAGAATACGTCGACTTCGAGAGAGAGACAGGAAAGGTAGGATGAATGAAAGATCAATCATCTGTTTCTGCTTTCTTAGACATTCTGTCCCTTTAAGCTTTTCACTGTAAAAAAAAAAACAGTTCTACAAAGGATTTCTAAAAAATTTTGCAAACACTGGGTCTGCAAACCGTCTCTGCTCTTTGGATCATCTCCTACTCTCGATTTGATGTCACAGTTGACACTCCGGAGTTGCCAAGACAAAAAAAGTATTTTGTCTGCAACTTTTCTTTCAGTTCCTGTTTTCGGGATCATTTCAAGAAATGAAAATAGAACAAATTGTTCCTTTTACAATGTAAATGTTCAGACATTACAATGTCTGAACATTTACATTGCTTTCTGGAGGTTTTAAACCAACCCCTAACTTCTATAGTAAAGTTTTCATTAGGCACCAGATTTTCTTTGAGTTTTACAACTTCTCAAAGGTTCTTTCTTTGTACCGGTAAGTTCTTTCCTTTTCAGTCCAGCCCTTGAACTTGATTGTTAAATATTTCTTTATCTATTTTTCTGCCCATTTTATTATTTTTGGCTTGCAGAGGGGGTTGGTGCATTTGAAAGACTTCAAAGTCACCCTTTACATCTATATACTCTGACCTCTGTGTCTAGACGCTTCTTTTATATAATTTTATGTCAAATATAAGATCATGAACTATTTTGTGTATCAGGTTGAATAACACGGCTTAAATTCTTTTATGCATCATGTTTCAAACAATTTAGCCTTTAAAGTTGGGTTTCTGCAGCTTCCATCTCATTTTAGAACCACATGAGGTCCGTCGCACAAATAGAATCTCTACCTAGTAGAGATCACCCACCACAAACTGAATAAAAGCCACATAGCTGCACTCGCAAGCTTATGCAAGATCAAACCTTAGCGACCTGAAGGTGTGATGGGGTGACGCCCACTGTTCAGTAGATCATTGATGTTGTGTTTATTTGGATGGTAATTGTCTCCCCCAGTGTGTGGGTGTGTATGAACATGTCCATGGACAGTGGCCAGCTGAAACGAATGCCAACTGGCGGCTCATTAAAAATGCATTCTGAGGAATCGATGGACCTCCATGGCCCGGGGCTGACTGACTAATCTCATGCTGTTAATTATTTAATATTAGTATGTGTGTGCCTGTGTGCATGTGTTTTGGTATTTATGTGTGCTGGGCATTTCGGGTGTTTACTGGTGTCAGACAAAAAGCAGAAAGAATGCGTCTGTGTGAAGGCGGTTTGTTTTTGTTACATTAACACGGCTCACAGATGCATAAAGTTTTAATGAGGCCAGGAGACGTCAATATAAAGGAGTTTAAGAGTCCTTTATTTGAAGTAGACTAAAGTTTCTTTCTCTGCGTCTTTCACTCACAGAAACATCCGTTATGAACAAAAGCTGTCAAAGTTGCATTCATTTCTATGTTTGTTGTTCACATTCGGAACTATTACAGGATAATACACGAGCAGAAGATTGATTCGAGATAGCAAACAGCTGCAGTTAGTTAACACTGGTGGGAGGTGGTGGGATTGTTTAGAAGGGCCTTTAATTGTGCAGATTTTCTGCAGCGCTGCTCTATCGGGATCTGGTTTCACACACGCTGATCATGATCCCTCCGGACCTCCTTACAGGATACTGCTGTCAGATCCAGGCAAAGGTCCTGGGTGCATTTGCAACTTCTTTGCTTAATTAACGTCACACCTTGAGCTCGTTAACTGATACTCACTCCTCTAGCTCAAGGTTACTTACTTTATATGTTGCACTTTAACAACTTCTCATTGTGTATAGTTATATAGAGGGCCATTTTAATCAATTTAAAAACACCAATACAAATAAAATATTATTCATTAGAGATTAGATTATATTGCTTTGGTATCCTGGAGGTGTTATTAAAAATTGTGAAATATTTCCATCTAGCTTAGCATAAGCTTAGCATTTTGACTGTTCTTGGAATTTAAAAATTTACATTTGATTTTGACCTGTCTTTTGGTTAGACTAAACCTTTTTCTTTTTCAGGTCATTTAGTTTTGCTTAAATTATTTCTATTATACAAAGAATATCTTTAGAGATGTTATGTTTAAAGTATGTTTTCATAGTTGTCAGGAAGATGTGCTTTTTTAACTGTATAACTTGGTCATATATTTTAAAATCTTTCCACAAACTTTGCACATTAGCTTGCTGGAATATTGACCCATTCCTCCTGAAAGAACTGTTATGTTTCTATTCTGTGCAGAGGAGTTTGGGAGATATGTGTAGGGAACCACAAGGTTTATTGTGTTGAATTAGAGAATATTTAAATGAACAACATCATCAAGTGATTCTTCTTTTGTTTTTGTTTTTTCTGTTTGTAAAATTATTCTTAAAAGAATATGCCCAACAGCTTACACCTGGGGGAGTTTTGTTGAAGATCCATGGTGTGTTTCTGGTCTTACCTTTTTTTCTACTCCGGGTTTTTCTCTGATTTGTTTGTGGTCGTGCCATACGTCCCCCACTCCTTCCCTCCCTCCTTCAATCAGTCCCATCATCCCTCCATCCGCCCCGTCTTCTCCCCGCCTGCATTTCCAAACACAGATGGTGCCAAACCAGACAGGCAACGCAGCCAGGTTAAACTTGGCAACTGAATATAAAGTGCATGTGTGTGTGTGTGGGTGGGTGGGTGTTTGTGTGTATGAATTTTGGATCTCAGTGTTATTGCAGCTAATGGGAACCAGCTGTGGAGGAGGTTCACTCAGAGCTCCCTGCTTATGGGCAGCAGATCGTACCTCTGCGGAGAACATGAATTAAGGGACCAGAAACAGACTGGCAGAGGTTCTCTTACCTTTAGACGTTCTCAGGGACTTTAAGTAACGGTTGATACTCTAACAATGGGTCGCACTCATGTTTTAACTTCCTGTGATCTTTTTGTTTTTTAAGCAGAAGTTTCAATCAAATCCTAGTGAGAAAGAAGTGAATTAATTTTGATTGCCAGCTTTAAAAATTGTTGCAATGTTTGTTTTTAAAAACCTTAATGTGTAAGTAGGGCCTAATATTTGCCATAAGGACATCATCATTAATTTGTCTCAGTATCACCCCATTAAATTAAATCCATCCAACTGATTATTGTTCTTATGATTCCTGTGGTTTTTAATGTGCTACTTAGAAAAATGTTTTTCATTACTCAAGCAAAGCAAGAGCCAAGGAAAAGGAAAAGGAAAAGGAACGCAATCCTGGCAGCTTGATTTTGAGAGGTGACACAAAATCTGCTTTAAATTTAATGAGAGAGAGAGGGGTAAATTCCAGGAAATAAAGAGTACAATTTAAATGTTTACTTGTTTATAAGTTCCTTTTATTTAGTTATGAAAATATATTTTTAGGCCTGCTGTTGCTTTGGATTAAGGATAAACTCAGATAAACTGTCAAAATAAAATCACAGCTTTTTTTTGACAGGGTGTTTAGATTAAATAGTAGAACATATTAAAGCTACAGTGTGTAATAATTACAGGGATATACAGTCAGAAATGTAATATATTATACATAACTATGTTATTTATCATCACCTATGAGCTCAGCCTCTTAACCTTAATATTTGCGTTGCCTTAGAATTCGTTATTTCTAATTACATAGGAGCGGGTCTCGCAGCCATGGAGGCAGACATCTTTGCGCTACGGCAGCGCAGAGCCAACAAACTAGCGATTGCGAGATCGCCCATTACGCTCGAAAGTAACTACGGCAAGTTGAGAGAGATGAACTGAGACGGTACTGAACAATAGATGGCAGTATTAAAATTATCTATGTAAACAAACCTCATCACTTGAGAAGGTAGGTGATGCGGACGTCGTGGAAGACATTTTGTCCCGTAACGCTCGCCGTACTGTTGGGGGGGAGAAGCGCTGGGGGGAGATGTTCATGTTGCTGCGGTCTGCAGTCTGGACGTTAGATGTCGCTGAAAATTACACACTGTAGCTTTAAACTGATTGCTCCTCAACCATCTCTCACTACAGTTATCCTTGGTCATACGTCATGTGGAGATGCTTATTAGAAACTTTGGTTACATTATTTAAGAGTTAAGTAGAAAGGAAAGTACTGGGATATGACTACAATAACCCCCAAGAGACTACAGATAAACAGTTAAGGGGAATTTAGCTACATTAGGAACTTGTTGAAAATCAAAAAAGAAAGATCCATATTCTGCTAATGGCTGCTTTAAGGTCCCATATCAGCTTTTTAAGTATTTCAAAGTTAATTTTAAATATATATATATATATATATATATATATATATATATATATATATATATATATATTTTTTTTTTTTTTTTATATATCACATTTGTAGTAGTATTAATTTGTCATAAATTAACAAGGACAGGAAACACTCTTACCTTTCCTTCTCTGCTGCTGCAACAAGGTATCACATCTCTTCAGGTGATCAGGCTGTTCTATAGGAAGACTGCACAAAGTCAGAGACCTCAGCCAAAAAAATAATTTTCATGACTTAGACACTTTCTTAAAAAAGAGCCATTGCTGTCACTGTGCAGATTAGCTGCTAAAAGAGCCAGTTTGTCTCAGCTTTGAACAGGAATCATCAAGCTCACATTTTTCCCTTTGCTGATGGGAAAAAGTGGTTGTTTGTTTACTTGACTGTGATGTGCAGGCACATCACAGTCAAGAAACTGTACTGTAGGTGCTTCCTGGAGGGAGCAGGTAATACTGGTCTTGTTTAGACATGGCTTGGCTGCTTGATTTTGCCAGAAAACAGAACAGAGAGGGGATGCTGCTCAGAGAGCAGAAGTCACATGGACTGACATGCATGAATCAAGCTAGATACCAATTTGGTAGGTTGGAAGGAATCAGATTATAACACAGAAGTCCAATCTATTTGGTTTTAAGCTGCTCTGAACTAGCATATAAGATCACATCAAATCCAAGCTAGCTAGTGAAAAAAAAAACAGTAGAATTTTACAGTCGATATTCTCAATTACCAAGATAGTTGATTGTAATGACACATCTAAAAGCAGCATATTTAACTACATGTTGAAATG